AGCGGCGGGCGCCACGTCGAAACGGCCACTTTGAAATTGCTCGGGCCTGTGCGAAACCCGCCACCTCAAAAACCTGCAGTGTCTTGTGTCTGGACTCTAGGCCATGTCCGGTGGGGTGAAAGGACACTTAAAAATCACCCTGTTATTTTTCGAGGGGCGGCTAGGACCCGACAAACGTCCTGGGCCGCCCCTTTTTTTTTTGCCCCAGTGGCCTCCATCCGGACATGGGGACCGGACACCGGACACCGGACTGTCTGGAGCCCGGTCTGGACGTCTGGGCGGTTACCATGGAAGCACTTCTTTTTTTTTTTGAATAACAAAACATCAAGTGCCCCCCCCCCTACTATGAACAGGGATACAAGCCCATGCTCGGAGTAGGGAGACCTGTTGTTGACGACTCCTTTCTTATTCGCGGGGAGCAGCACGTACTGGGAACCGGGCCTAGCGTCCCATGTGAACAGTATCCGTAGTCTTCCAGCGCCCCGTAGGGATCAACCCATGCTGGCAACCTTGCCCAGTGTCCCTTATTGACTACATTGATATATCCTTCTTCCCCTCGCCAAAGGCATCAGTCTGCCACTGCTTCCGTCTTCCTGCTACCCCCCCTTAAACACACTGTAAATCTTTCCCGGTCCGGGGTCCTCCTGTTGCAAAATCCTCTCCTGTCCCATGTTTGCTGGTTCGTTGTCCCATCTCCTTCCTTTGGTGGGACCCCAGCTCCTCTCGTCCTCCCCCTCTGGCCCCTGTTCCCATAGAGGTCCTTGCTGTTGCCGTAATCCTGTACCAGCTGAACTTCGATCTGGCCGGCTGCGATCCGCATTGTGTACTCCTGCTTCACCTGGCTGGTTTCAGTCTTCCCGTAGCGCCGTTGTTTTGCCCGCTTCTGGAGTATCCCTTGCTGATCCCAAGGTCCTTTGATATGGCGACTGAGGGATGGGGAATGAGGATAGAGGGGAAGAACGGGGGAGGGGGGGGGACACAATGGTTACAGACGAGCAACAAGGGGTGGCTGGGGGGGTTGGTGGGGGTATGGCAGAGGGGAGGGGGGCGGTGGGGATGGCACCCGGGGGGGCGATTCGGCGGGGGGAAAGGGAGGAATGGTCCCTTCAGTCGGAGAGTAGGTGGTAGGGGGCAGGGTAGAGGGAAGGGGGGAAGGAGTTGGTGACAACGGAGGGGGATCCTGTGGAAGAGGAGGGGATGTCTGAGGCAGCGGGGAACGCTGCTGTGCCTGGACGTTGGCAAGAGGTAGTAGGTGGTCTCCTGGGAGCGGAGTAAAGAAACAGTCATCGGGTCTTTGTGGCCACCGAGCTTCATGGGTTAGTCCATTCTTCCAGACTACCTTGCCCTCCGATGCAAGTGCGCACAAGTGGCCATGAGGGTCTATCCATTGGGCAGACAACTCGTGCTTCAGCCTTTGTTTCTTGTCCTCGTCCAGGGCTGAGGCCATTTTTCCCTGCAGCTT